GAGGAAAAGAGAGGCCAATGCACGGGAGCTGTAAGGAGCAGCCTGTGAACCCAGCACCATTTTATGCTGCAAGCTTCATTATGAGATGAAATTTCTTAGTAACGGATCCTAAGTTCTTCTGTGAACTCAGATCAGCTTAGAAGCAGCAGAGTTGGTAGAAAGACACACCCTGCTCCAGCCACAGCTCCTTCTCTTCATCAGCTCATCTAGAAGATTTAAATTATTATTTTATGAGAAGAGAAATAAAAAGAAAAACAGTATGATAAAAGATTCAAATGGCACAGTCCATTGTTATCCAGAGGCTGGATTAGGCATTTGTAAACTCTCCCCATCCAGCTTTCATCAGAATCACTCTAGATTCAGAAACTGAGTGAGAACAGCAATTTTTCAAAAAAACCAAACTAGTATTTGTCAGACACCTGCCCCGCCATCCCCAAATTCCAAAACAACACCACTTACCTGCTTCTGGATCTGGAGGAATCCTCCACATATATAAATTGAAGTCATCAGAGCCCGAAAGGATGTACTGTTAGGAATAAAAATAAAAGCAGTTTACCCCAAAGTGTCACCTGAATTACATTATTTTATTATTGATCTAGTTTCTTCAAACCAAAAATAGGGGGGGAGAAGAAGATAATTTGTATCATTCTTTGCACCTCACTGATCAACTTACCCTTAAATAGGGGTGAGGTACCAGCACAAAAAATGTTGCATGCATACTAACATACCAAAATTCAAAAGCATGCTTCATGTGTCTAATCCCTACTGCCCAAAGTTTTCTTTGCTAAATAAGGCTATGGATTTTGGTTGGCTTTAATACAAGTGTGTCTAGATCAAACTCTCATATCTCGCAGCCTGCAACTCTGGTCTTTTTTTAATGTCAGGGTCTTTCATCCTTTTTGCTCTCATCTCCTGAACTACCAAGGAGAACTCCATCAAACACACACCTAAGAGAGCTAGCATGGCCATTACACACGAGCACAACATGTCTGGCTCATCACGGTCTACTGAAGACCATCAAAAGTCAGTCACTGAGGATAATCTTGAACACGGAACATAACCAAAGCTAAACATTCACTGTCAGCAAGTCTCAAGCAGTTTTAAAAAAACCCACATTTATCATACTGTTCATTTTTTTCCTGGTTATAGTTACTCTGAAGACATGAAAGGCTGCCCTTTTTCAACACTGCACGAACAACAAGCAATCTCTTTATTGTACAGAAGTTTAGGCAATATGCAATTTGAAGTAGCTTAATACACTACAAAAACACACTGGAATTACAGGTGACATTTGACATGGTAAAAAGCTTACACCTCTCAGTTATGAGAGGCCACAAACTGTGCCTTGTCTCCAAATATCTCTTCTCCAATAAACTGCACTCCCTGTCATTTACTTCTCTCCCAAATTAGAGATGAGATGACACACAGTGGAACCAAGGGCAGATTCCAGTTCCAGTTAGACTGGTGTAGACAGTGTAAATCTCTAGCTTGCAACTGATATAAGGCTTCTGCTTAATCAATACAGTCAAGAAGTTGGGTTTTTCGTTTTATTACTATTATTAGGGTAGAGGGAAGGGAGAAAAAGAAAGAAATTAAGCAAGTTTGTCCCTTTTCTAACCTGTGATAGGAGACAAATTCTGTTTTGTTTGGCTCAAATAAAACTGGTTTCTGTCTTTTGTTCTCCAGGGATACATAAACTCATCAGGCAAAGTAACATCAAGCAGTGGGGAGACAAGTCCTGGAATAACACAGGACTGAGAAGCAAATAAACAAAATATACACACTGGCACAGAGAAAATTGCTATAAATTTGCATATATCTCTTTGCAATGCTAATTATGTTCGTGCAGTGTTTGGATATTTCCAGCCGCAAAAATGCAATAACCAACCTCTAAAATCCCTTCTCTGGTTTCCTACTATCACAATCCAACCATTCTTTTTTCTTTTATTTTTAAGGATGTAGGATGTGAGTAAGCACTTATGAATGCAATCCTGCTCAGTTTCTGACAGATAAAAAGCGCTGCTCAAACAAAAGTTCCTTCAAAAACTTGTGCGCACTAGTTCTGCATCACTCATAGAGCCATCCTTTCCAAGACAGAAAGTTATTTCTACAAGCCAACGTGTTCAAGCACTTAGGCAGCTTACCTCTGCCAAACTGACCTGACAGTGCCAGGAATATGTGCTTCCCTTTCATTTGACTGCTCATAAATGTTAGCCCACAGCAGGCTGAGCCACTGTGCCAAAACTACACAGATTAGGGCTCATGTAGGCAGCCTCCCAGCAATCAGAAAGAATGCACCTCTAATACGTTTTGTTACACAAGAACTGCTACATGGAAAAAAAAAGAGTCTTGTTTGAAGTTATAAAGATGTTGACAATTGTTAGTATTTATTACCAAATTGTGTGGTTGAAGCAGCAACTTGTTTGCCTAGGACATGTAGGGAACAATGGAGACTTCTAAAACAGCTAGAAAGCTCAGTATCTTGAATTTATGACCATTACACCCTTTTTTTTTTTAAAAAAAAAAAACCAAACAAGTTCTAACAACTCCTCTGTATGCGAGTCATTTAGCATTTTACGTCATAAATCAAGCAAACCTACCAACAATGACAGGCCCCAAAATGACAGATTTCAGGTATCCTGCACCAGGCACACAACACAGAAAAATCACGTTACGTATGTGTAAAGAACGAAGTGGCTGTGAGACTCTTCAAATCAGCTTCCAAACTGATTTGCAGAGGAACATACTGTGTATCCTGTAAGACTCAATGGCCAATTGTCTAGGAAAACTGGTGTATCGTTGCCCACCAAACAAGAACATACTACCTGCAAAGACCACTGATCTGAGTATACTCTGTCTTGCTCTGGAGATAGCAAAATTTCGAGTGCCCTTGCAGTGATGTGGGCTAATGGCAATTTGACTGCACTATCAAGAGTGCAACCGGGAGGTCAAGACAAGTGATTATTCCCCTTACCTGGCACTTCTGAGGCCACACCTGGAGTACTGTGTCTGGTTTGGGTCCCCTGATACAAGAGTGGCACTAATGAATCTGACAGAGAGTGGAGGGGGGCAGCTGGGGCTGAAGGCATGTGACCTGCGAAGAAAAGCTAAGGGAACTGGCCTTATTTAGCCAGAAGAAGAGAACATGAAGGGACAGAGTGGACCTCAACAGTCTCCCACTGTCTGAAGGAATACAGAGCAGCCGGGGACAGCCTCTTCTCAGAGGCATGCAGTGGATGCAACAGTCACAAGTCACAGCAAGGGAAATTCCAGCTGAGCACAAAGGAACAGCATGTTCAGGAGGAACATAAACACTGCAACTTGGCCCCAGAAAGGCAATGGAATGTCCACCCTTGGAAATCTGAAATTTACCTGGACAATTCCCTGAGCAACCTGATCTGACTTTGAAGATGCTCTGCTCTGAGAAGCAGCTTAAGTCAAATGACCTCCAGAGCTCTCTTCTGATTCAATTTTTTCAAAGATTACCAAAGCAAAAAGGGAAATAATTGTCTTGGTGGATTGGGGTTGATTTTGGGTTGAGGGGCGGGAAGGGGCGGGGCAGGGGGAGGGGAGGTGGGCAGTTCAGGAAAATGCCCACCTGAAACCTTTACACTCCACCAGACATCACAGCTTCATGAAAACTCCAATGGGAAGATAAACTTAAGACACATCGACAGAGGCATAAGCTGCAGTTCAGCACATGGACTCACACATAAATTCAGATGGTCACAATTTGGGGAATTTAAAGAAAGAAACTGGCAAAGTATCTTAAAGTAGTTCACAGAATCATAGAATGGCTGAGGCTGGAAGGGACCTCCAGAGGTCATCTGGTCCAACCACCCTACTCAAGCAGGGTCACCTAGAGCCAACTGCCCAGGACCATGTCCAGATGGCTTTTGAGTATCTCTTATGGCAGAGAGATTCAATCCAACTATCTCCAATTGAGATAGTTCCTACCTGCTTAAAAGCACCATGAAGTCCTTCACTTCATTACCATTTTCTAGCCTGATGACATTTGCACCAATCAAATACACTTGGCCAAAGTATTCTGGAGTGAATTAAGACAAAGTATGTAGGAACGAATAAAGCATCTGCATTGCAATTTATGTCTAGTCACAGAACAAAGCTCAGCTCAGGATCTGAGCTGTTCTGAAGAGGTGCTTACAGGTTTATTCTTGCAACTGAGACAGCCATCAGTAAGCACCAAAAGCATTAATTGATAAAGTCATCTACACAAGTTTGATGTTGTAAGCAATGGGCTGTGAGTTGTGAACTTAAATTTAAATTTAGTTTTGATAGTTAGCTCTGCCAATAATTATCAGAAATAGATCATATTCCACAAAATAGCCAACTATTTGGTGTCTCTGCTACTCCACTGCCACCATGGTAGCAGCCAGCATTGTCTTCCACTCTCTTTCCGTGTTAGGGTACCTCTGGGGTACAAGTTTTCCTGTTGTTCTCACAATATAGAATTGAATCCCCAAATGCACTCCTTTTATCTTTTTCCGTAAGACCAGGTGATAGGGGTCTGAGAATTAGAACATGGCTTTTCAGACAGAGACCAAGAGACTGCCAGAAGCACAACTTCATAACTGCAGCTATTGCAAGAAAGATGTGCCAGCTGAAGCTTGAAGAGCAGACACCCAAGCTGCTGAAGCCAAAAACATGCCTCTTCCATGACATTTGAAAAAGCTACTCAATTTCCAATTAGTAGTCTGCACAAGACAATGGGAACCCAAGGCCTCTGGAGAGCACAGCTGGACTGACGTTACAGGACATTTACATGATCATCTGTGAAAATTTTTCATTGATGTATTCATTATTAGTGTAACAATAAGCCAACAGTTTTCCACACTAGTCGAAATTCGGAGAACAAGGATTGAGAAAATGCAGAAGTCAGTCCATACTACTAGACAATCAAATAAATAATTGCTACGAAGTGTACCAAGCCCTAGTTAATAAGGCTGAAATCCTGAGGGAATGGAGTAGACTTTTTAAAAAGGAAGGAACAGAAAGGAAAGAAAATGAAGGGGTTGGGGTGGGGTAGATGAAAGAATGTCATGCTGCATATGCTTAGACTCCACTTTAATTGTGGCCAAGGATTTTTGGTCCTGAGGGGATGTGCAAAACGTAATTCCTAGCAGAGTACCTTCTACTCACTCACTTTAAGAACAAAAGCCCAGATAATCAAATCACAAAGGCTAGCCAGTGAGAGGCAAAAACATGCACATTCACAGAGACAAGTAAATGGCTAAGACAGTGTGCACTCTCCTCCCCGCAAAAGACAAACTCCAAGCAGAACATAATCCCAAGAACGAGCGCAGTGCTGAATCCTGAATCAGACCAGACACTGCATGAGGACCTCAGATGCTCAGATGTCTGGGGGGAGCGACCAATATTAAAACCACCTGTTTCATTGTCTGCATTTTTGCTGCTGTATCCGACCAGGACTTCGGAAATCAACATTCACAATATTCACATGAACATGAGATTAGACAGAAAACCAGTTGCTAATAATACTGGAGT